GACCCTTTTTAGGACGGGGAAAGTTAGATATCTAGAAAGCGAACTTTTTCAGGAGGGAGCCGTTTAAGGGTGGTGGCGGCAAGGAGAAGGAGCCTCTGGGATGCTTACTTGCAAGTAAACCTGATGGCTTCCTTCTCCACCCTCCATCCTCCTTCCCCAAAGTGGATTACGCATTTGGCGAGGGAGCTCGTTTTGCAGCGCGCGAGTGCGCGGCTCCCCTTCCCCACGAGCTAAGAGAGGCCAAATTATTTGAGGAAGGGAGGGGGGGGGCAAACTTTTGAAGCATCCCCTCTTTCCCTCCACGCCCCCCCAGAAAACGACCTCCTCTGCCTGCGAGGAGGCTGTGAAAGAAGAGCAAGAAGGGGTTGGGTGGGTGGGATGCTTAATGTTTTTTCATGGAAGTTTCCCAAAACAGAAGGATACGACTTTACACCTGTCCCAGATTCCAGCTATTTCATTCTCTCCTTCCAACATTTTCACCAACCCCACAAATGGCCATCCTGGCTCATGCCCTCACAAAGCAGCAACTCCAATCTAGATGGGGGGGGGTCAACAGAAAGGAGGTGAGCAAGTGAACAACACCACGGATGCACCAGCCTGTCTTCTGCTGCCCACAGCAGCCCCCCTCCCTCGCAAGCCACTATTCATTTTTAGCAGCTGCGGATCCGATTTTGCCAACCAAAAATAAAAATATCCGGGGATTTGGGGGGCTACTGGGGGGGAGAGAGGTACCAAGTCTGCACCTTGCTCTAACAATGCGCTTTCCAGTTTTTTTAAAGCTAAGATTAAAAAAAAAATACAATCCAAAAGCACTATTTAAAAAAGCAATTGCACTGAATGCATCAAGGCGAGCTGGCGGAAAGAAAAGATGATCGCCAGCGCTTTTATTCACAGATACCAGATTCACCCCCCCCCTCAGATCATAAAATGTCCATTCCTCCCTCCAAAAGGGAGGGAATCAAATTTCAAAAGGAACCCACCCCCATGGCAAAGCCCTCCGGCGTGCTAATTCCACAGCTAACAACCCTTCCTTCCCTCCCTCCCTCCCTCCTTCCTCCTCCTGCCTCACCCCCCCTCAACTCCCCACCAGCCTGTTTCCCCTCTTCCACCGAGGCATGAGCAACTGTACACAAGCACGATCTGGAGCAGCTCCGCCGGCTTCACAGATTCCCTGTGAAGATATGTCATGGACGCCAATGTCCGGGCCGCAGCTTCTGATTGGTGAAAAGGCTGGGAGAAGGCGGGCTGAGTCGTTGGCTCTTGCTAGCTCTGAAAGGTGGGGAGTTGCTCCTTTGATGCTTTAAGTCTTACCATTTTCTGTGTTGTTTTTATCCACCTGGAGACAGATAGAGGAGCGGTGCCTCGGTTCCTAAGACCATTGGAAATATGTGTTTTCTGATGGTCTTAGGCGACCCTGTGAAAGGGTCATTTGACCCCCATTGCTCTGATAGGTCAATCCACCTGAGAGGCGGTGAATTTATCATCCCTTCAGGAATGGAATGGACAAGTAGGAGGGGAATAATTGGATCTTAAGTCAGACCAGATTTACGCAGCCCAGCACCTTTGCCAGCCCACTGCCAAATGGACTGGAATTTCTGAAGTTGACGTAAGAAACAAGTAGTAGCAACATAGGAGACAAGCAGCTTAAGCTGTGGTGTGGAATTGCCTGGGGCCTCACTTATGGATACATAATTATTCTAGCAAGTATACTGTTTCTTAAACATGTACTTCTGCATAGTCAAGCTGATGAAAGCATTTCATGCCCTGATAGCTTTAATTATCTTTGTTTATTCCTTTTCAAATTCCAACACATCCTCTCATAAACTATACGACAAGAACTACAACTTTATTCAAAGGAGTGGCAGAAATAATTTACATGTAAAAATGCCAGTCTTTTAGTATGCTAATAATAGTTGACACATCATTGTGCCAGTAATTTTAATAGAATATATCAATTTCCTAATAAAATGCAGCTCAGAGCACAATATATTACTTTTCAGAAGCCAAAGATAATGCAAGAATTTCAGTGGAATTCAGTGGAATAACATCAACTCAAGAGTTGAGAGGGAATAATAACAACTAATGCAGAACACAATATTTTGAATACTGTTTATTCAGTGTATGAGAGAGTGAGTTTGTGTTTGTGTATGTCTCTGTGTGGTCAGTGTATGTTCATTTGGACCTAATTTGATTTTCTGTTGCATACTTTGAAGGTACTTTTTTCTGCAAATATTTTTATATTTATTTATTTTGTATATTATGGTATATATGATTTAATGTGACCATCACATTCTTTACTAACTGAATCCTCCATACAAAGGTCATATGACTTCATTTCTTTCTTTTTGAATACTCAGAATTAAATACATAAGCATGTTGCATTCTTCTTCTCTCCCCCACCCAGTTTCCTTAGTCTTGCTTAGTTCCATATGTGTTTGTGATGCCCTCCAATTTCCTACACAAACACACACACACACACACACACACACAAACACAGAGATCAATCAGACTGGCAGCTTTAGAAAAGCATATCACAATGGCAGGAATAGTTCTTGCTCTCTCAAATAATAAGTCCAACCAAACATCTTTCAAAAGAGCTTTTTGTGTAAAGAGCCTGGATAAGCAACTCACCATTCAGAGGCTTTTTGCTCTACATAGCATTACAAAGCAAAGCAGCATATTTTTTCTCTTTTAAAAGTTATTTGCTTTGTCCAGTCCTAACTGATTGCATTTTTAAAAAATTTCTGCTTGTTCAGTTGATATTACCTGCTTTGGTTCTTACATAAGTAGTATCTAATCAGAATCAGAAAGTGCTAATTTTATTAATTTTGACAATAAGAATATTTTTCAGCTTCACCTTGAAAGCATATTTTCCAGATTTTCCACTAATACTGGGAGCTGTTTGGCATGCCTGGCTAATCATCCTCCTAGCAAGAAACCCAACATTCCTGCACCTCTTTGGCATGATAAGGAGCCAAATAATTATTTTTGCTCTGTTCCAATGTTTACTGATGGAAGTTTCAGTTGTGCTTCTCCTTTCCAGTGGTATTCCAAGCAGCAATCTCTGGGTCAAAGCCCATATTTCCATCTTGGTTCAGCCAAAGTTGTGGCCAACATATTTCTTCACAAAGAATAGAGCAAGATTGATATCCTGGATGGCATTCCATATTTGACAAGCAATTATTATAACCCCACACAGCAGCAGTTTATCTGTGCTTGCAATACTGGACAAAGATTATGCCTAAAACAGAATTCATTAATGAAATGCCCATTTGTTCCCAGACAGCTAGAGACGGATTTGCAGTGCAGAAAGCATGGGAGGTGGCCCCTTCAAGATCAGCTTAAAACACCCCCACATGAGAATTGTCATCAGTTTGAAAGTAGCTTCAGACTGCTGAGATCTTACAACCTGGCCAGAATTTGAGAGTTGAGTTACTTTGCTGCTGGCTCAGCTGTTTCTTTAAATGCTTGGAAAAGTTGCACTTTTGAGGTATCCAGCTTTCCTACTGTCAAGAATTCTTGTTTCATCCTCTTTCTCATTGGATCTTGGTTGAGAATATTTCTCCAGGGAGCCGCTGTCTCAAGGCAGTTGATTTTTTAAATAAAAATGTAGCTAATTGATGAGTACCAAAAAGGAGGAGGAAATGACAGAACTCTTCTCAACATCACTCTTATTCTCTTTATCTGAGCTACTATATAGTCTTGAAGAGTTGCAAGGATTTATAATTAAGTTCAGAGCAATTCTATCAGTACTACCCTCACCTCTATTAATAAAGTAATAAACAGTCATTTTATTGACATTTTAACAATAGTTATTATGAGAAATCCCTTTTGGAAAAATGCCAATATGTTGTCCTTTAGGCTTTTTACTGGCTTTTTATTACAGGTAGTCCTTGACTTACAACTGATTGCTTAGTAACCATCAAAGTTACAATGGATCTCCCCAGGGCTACGTAGGACCTAGATTCTTAAGTTTCAATGGACCCCCCCCCATAATCCTGTCATTGCATTTTGGGCACTTGGCAGCTAGCCTGCATTTATAGTAATTTGCGGTATCCCACAGTCTCATAATCCCACAATTTATTACTTTTTTTACTTCCAATTCCAGCAAAAAACACCCATCCTGGACAAAGGATTCTCTTTACAACCCCAGTTCACTTAACAACCACTGCAAAAAAGTTCATAAAATTTGGCATGACCAACACAGCTTATGACATTAATTCCAGGCTCAATTACAATTACATGTCAAGCACTACCTGTAACAACAGAAGAAATAGGTAGACTTCCCATGTAGTAACAGCTCAAATGAGTATGATGAAATGATCACAAAAATAAACACGTTGTGAACCAAAAATGTAGAATAGGAGCCAGTACCAATTTATTTTTGTTTCATTTTGTCTAACATGAAGGTGGTAGGATACCCCAGGAACTGTGGGCCACTGATTGAATGCTATATTTGCCTTATTGTCTGATATTATTCTCTGCCTCTTCCCAGCATTCTGAGAAATAAAGAAGTAAAGATAATTATCAGTTTGCATTAAACTGATTTTATAGGATTGGACTAGGAACAAAGAGGTGGGGAATGGAAGTTAACCATTAATTAAATTAACCAATAAAATATTTGGGAAATTGCCACAACAGTCATATTGTTATATAGAAATTAGCAGGATCTTTGACATTTCAAAACATATGCTAAACAGATTAGATGAATTCAGAAATGCACATTCCTATGTATGGTCAGAAGTTTTAATCCATCATGGTTTAATTTATCCACAGTTTCCAATTAATATTCTCAGAGAAATCCAAAAATTGCTGGATTCCCAAATTGTTTTTAAGTGCTGTTATGTTAAGGCTTGCTATGTTGAAGAATCCACAACTACTCATGTTTCCATATCACAAACAAAGCAATAAATTCACATCTACAAGCCTACATCTACGAAGTACCTGAAACCAACATACATGAATCTAGTATGTGGACAAGTAAAAATTCAGAGACTTACCAGTTTTTCAATCCAATTTCCTAAATCTCTAAACTGGTCTGAAGTCTGACGAGAAAAAGCACCACTGTATTGCAAACCCGTGATTTTAAAGTTGCCCTTGTAATATGATAGCCTTTGATCTCTAATACCTAAAAAGTAAGATTTGTGTTAAATTAGCAATTCCAATATACTACCAGTTCTCTCAAATAATCCACGTTACTTATTTTTCTTCACTATTCCTATCCTTGGAGTCAGAAGTCCACATTACGCAGGACAGAGAAGAGCAGTCCTTTTGCCTATAAGGCAGAGGAAATATTAAAAGGAATCTCATATTAAAAGGAGCATGCTGAACTACCAGGCTTTTGACATTTTACAAACACTACTTCAAAAATCTAAATGCTTTTAATGTCTGATGTTTTAATGTTTTAATTCTGTAATCGTTTCATCATGTTATTTATGATATTGTAAGCTGTAAAAAAATGGGAGGCATACAAATTTAATAAATAAGTTATATTTCCCCTTAGTAGAAATTTAAAAACATCTAAACTTAGGAAATTCCAACTTACTTTCTTTCAAGTGATTAGTAAAGGTAATAAAATTGTTTTAATCGGTAATTTAGATAGGCATGATCAGATTTTTGAAAAAATGTTCAGTCAAAAATCCACTAAGACTGGAAAATAGTTTAGGTTAAATAACGCTAGGCCAGAACTCATGATTTAATCTTTCAAGATGTGTTCAGAAGTTCATGTAAAAGATAAATGGTGGATTCAAACAACTGTGAGGTTGATTTCTCTACATTCTAGGATGTAGGACAATACATTTGCAGAATGTGATCCATCATCTTACATTTTACAAGCAGGACTGCAGCAAGGAAAAAAAGTGAACAAGGATGTCTCTGTTGAGTCAAGTGTTCACTTTCTTCCATGATTAAGCCAAGATCTATTTTCATTCAATGTGTGAGGAAAAAGTATTTTGTTCTATTTGGGGAGCAGGAACATCTGATTGGTTTAGAAAATATGCCAAATTATTCCTATGTTATAAAATCAGAGAAAACAGAGTTTACCTATTTATAAAATAAAACCAATTACAGATCTGTTCAAAAAGCATCTCTATAAATTGACAGTAAGATGCTTCTTACCATATCGTGAAAAATAAGTCAGGAATCCGACGATGATTGCTGCTGCAATTGTGCTGGCCAGAAGGATGACAAGAATTTTCCATGGTTCAAAATATCTGAGTTTTGTACTTGTTGGCTGCACTCTGGAAAAGTTGAGATAGTACACTTTTAAAAGTTCCCCAAGTTTTTCTTCTCATTTCAGTATACATCTTACTGGATCAATATATTGTATATCAAACAATCTGAAAGTAATAAAAATAAATTCCTGTGGACTGTTCTCATTTTCTTTTTTTTAATCTTATGTTATCCTAGTTTTATAATGATTTTTTGGGAAACAGCATATGATTATTTGAAATAACCAAACAAATCAATAAATAAGATGACCTGTATCCCATTATTGTCCCCCAGTTAAAAGATTTTTCCTCTTGTGAAGATAAAACATTGATGAAAAGATGTCTAAGCATGAATCGGCAATCTAGCATTGCTATTATGTAAGATCCTAAACCAGTGGTGGCACTCAGAGCCCTCTCTATGGGCACACGCACTGTCACCCCAGTCCCAGGCCTTCAGATGGGTTTTAGAAAACCTTTTCGCTTTAGGCCTCTGCCACTGTGTGCAAAAAAAAAAAAGGTTCTATCAGTCCATTTCAATTTCTCACAGGAAAAAAAGAGATCTTGCATAGTTGAAATTGATTGATTGAACTTTTTAATCCCACCCGTTACCACCCCCACCCAATGGGCCATGCCCACCCAATGGGCCACACCCACCCGGCACTCGACGATGCATAATGGGGTTTTGGGTTGCAGTTTGGGCACTCAAACTCTAAAAGATTTGCCATCACTGTCCTAAACTCTCTGAAGGAGAAACATGTTAATAATCTTATTTATGTTATTATAGAAATGGCTAGTTAATGTTGTTGTTAATTGCAAAGTCATGACGGACCCATCGCGATCCCATGGACAATGTTCCTCCAGGTCTTCCTGTCCTCTACCATCTTCTGGAGTCCATTTAAGTTCATACCTACTGTTGCGTCCTTCGCAAAATGGCAAGACATGAGAAGCGGTTGTAGTTCTCAAGACTTCTTTATTCTTAGTTCAGCTTACAGTTGGAAGACACCGGCAATGCCCAAAACTCCTGGCCTCTTATATAGGCCATTCCCGGGTCAATCTGCAACTTTTGGCGCGCCAGCACTTGCGCATGCGCACAAGTACTGGCGACAGCCTGTCTGGTCCCGGGCAACTTGCACCTGCCCGGGACCGTTTGCAATGCCCCGAGCCTGCTTGCACAGGCTCAGGACATAACACCCCTTCCCCCTGGGTTTAAACTATTAACCATGCCATAGTAACAAATAACCCATTGCGAGTGTAGTGCCATACTACCCAATGCCAGGTATTACTTTTGCTTCCATTAGTCTAAGTGTTCTGTTCCCTCTGTTAACTCTGTTTTGCCAATAGAGTTACAAAATCCTAAATACTTAGGAGATTTCCTGGCTCTCTGTGACCTCCTAACTTCTGGGTACCTGCCAAGTACCCCTTGACTGAGGGGTGATGCGTGCCTGTCTCCCTTGTTTTGCCTCGGTGGTTCCCAAGGACTGTGCTCCAATGCCTGGCCTGCTTGCTTGCCCACCGGGCTCGTCAGGCCAGGGCTTCTTTCTTTGTTTAACCTGGTTGTCCTGCCTTGCTGCAGGCTCTCTGGCCCCTCTAAGTGACTGTCACTGTTGGGCGATTCTGTAGAACCTCCAAGGTCCGTCCAAGACCTGTCAGGAGGTTGTCTGTCCCCTGGTTCCCATTCTGTCCCCAGGCTTATGGGGTTTTCAGTACTGTCCCAAAACTCAGTTGTCCCCTGAGTGAAGTCAGAGGTGTTGTAATCGGGATTTGGTTCCTCGACCACCTCCCTGTATGTTTGCCTCCTTCTAGGGACAGGGGTAGTGTCGGGCCAACTAGATGCTCCCAGGTATCCTCCCTGACTGGAGTACTGTGTGATGCGGGTGAGTAGTGATTATGCCCCCGGGGTGACTCCCTGGCTGGAGTAGGCGTTGATACCTGGTATCTAGTTGGGCTCCTTGAATTCCTGTTTGGAGCACTCGCAGAATCTTGAGATGAGCCATTTGTGGCTTCCTCATTGATAATGGGCAGCAGCCCATGCCCTTCCCCTTGCCCAAAGGGGTCCCCCTCCCCCCTGGAAAAGACCCAGGAGTCTCAGCGGGAAGGTCCGTCTAGGGCGAAGTTGGTCGATGTGTCAACGCAGGACACGACCGTTGTCCAGGGACACCTCGTAAGACAGAGGACCTGTGACCCTGGATATAGAAGCGGGGACCCATGAATGACCAGGCCCGTAATTACAAGTCCAAACCGGGGCACCCACAAGGAGTTGTCTCGGTGCCCTGGGGCATAAGTAAGAAGAAGGCAGTCTATCCGGATGCAACCGGTCAAGCTTGGTAGTCAGTTTGCACCCCCAACGAAGTTCAGCTGGTCTCCTCCCCGTAGAAGTGGACGGTGTAGTGCGATAAGAAAGGAGGAAGTCAGCCAACCTGTGATGCCAGTCTCCGTAGGTAATTTTCTTCAAGGCGTCCTTGGTGATGCGAACCAGGCGTTCAGCCATACCGTTGGTGGACGGGTGGAAAGGTGCAGAGGTGGCATGACGAATCATGTTAGCCTGTAAGAAAGCTTGGAATTCGGAAGAAGTGAATTGAGGGCCATTGTCAGACACGAGGACATCAGGAAGCCTGTGTGCAGCAAAAATCCCCCTCAGTACTTGAATAGTCTTTGCAGTGGTGGTGGAAGATACAGGTACAACCTCAAGCCATTTTGAATGGCTGTCAACTAGGACCAAGAAGAATTGACCCTGAAAGGGCCCAGCGTAGTCAATGTGCACCCTCGACCATGGAGACTGTGTTTCCTCCCATTTATGTACAGGGGCTTGGGGTATTTCGGGGCGCGAGTGTTGGCAAAGGTGGCATGCGTGCACCTTAGCTTCAATGTCACTATCTAACCCAGGCCACCACAAGTGGCTGCGCGCGAGCGCCTTCATGCGTACAATGCCAGGATGACCCTCGTGGAGGGAACCTAAGACCCTAGTCCTCATTGAGGTAGGAATGACAACTCTGCTTCCCCAAAGCAGACAACCCTGGAAGGTGGACAACTCATTCCTTTTAGACCAGAAACTCTGAAACTCAGTGCCAGGACAGCTCTCTGGCCATCCATATAAAACCCAAGAAAGGACACGTGAAAGTGTGTGATCTGTGCCTGATTCAGCGGCTACATCTCTGGCATTCAAAGGGGACTCGGGCAAGGCCTGATGGAGAGAAGATTGATAGCTGGTGCAGGGTCAGCTTCTATTACCGGCAGGGGTAACCTACTGAGGCCATCAGCATGGCCCATTTCCTTCCCAGGTTTATGAAGTAGGGAGAAATCATAGGTAGAAAGAAAGATAGACCATCTTAGCATTCTGGGGGAGATGATTTGGGGAGTTTGCTTATGTGTGGTAAACAGTCCCAACAAAGGCTTATGGTCAGTGAAGACCGTGAAATGCCTGCCATATAAAAAATCATGGAATTTTTTAATTCCAGCAACCACAGCTAAGGCCTCTCTGTCTATTTGAGCGTAATTACGCTCAGCAGAAGACAAGGTTCTGGAGTAGTATGCAACAGAAACCTGAGTTCCATCTGCCCTGAGGTGGCTTAGTACAGCTCCTACCCCATAAGGAGAAGCATCACAAGCGATGCACACAGGAAGGGATTCATTGAAATGTGCGAGTACACTGTTAGAAGTGAGTAAGGCCTTGACCTCATTGAAACTTGCCTCATGTTTTTGTGACCACTGCCACACTGCCTGTTTGTCTAATAGCCTGTGAAGAGGCTCAGCTACACTAGCCTTATGTGGAAGAAAGGAATTGTAGAAATTCAGAAGGCCCAAGAAAGCCTGTAGTTCGGCCTTAGACTTTGGCCTGGGAGCATGCATAATAGCTTTCAGTTTGGATTCAGCGGGGTGAATCCCAGAAGCATCAATTTTGAATCCCAGAAAATCAGTAGTAGGCACCCCAATTTTACATTTGTCCTTTTTAAGCTTGAGTCCTGTTTTCCTGAACCTTAACAGGACAGCCCTTAATCTCTCAGCTAAACTGTGTGTAGAATCTCCTGCAATTAAGACATCATCAAAATAGGGGCAAACCCCTGGTATACCCCGTAGTGTGTTTTCCATTACGCTTTGGAAAATTCCAGGAGCGACATTTACTCCAAATTGTAGCCTCTTCACCTTGAAGGCCCCTCTGTGGGTCACAATGGTCTGCCCTACAGCAGCATCATCATCAACAGGCAGCTGTTGATATGCCTGAGCTAGGTCAAGCTTTGCAAAAACGCGCCCCCCCTTGAGGGAGGCCAGAATATGACTGACCACAGGAACAGGATAGGCATGTTGCAGCCATGCCTTATTCAGGGTGCATTTGTAATCAGCACAGATGTGAATGTCCCCATTTGCCTTGAGAGGCGTGACAATGGGGGTTTCCCAGGGACTGGAGTCAACAGGTTCTAGAACTCCGTGCTGAATCAGTTTGTCCAACTCAGTGTCAATTTTACTTTTTAAAGCAAAAGGGACCCTTCTTGCTTTAATTCTAATGGGAGTGACAGTGGGGTCTAATTTTAATGACACAGGGGGTCCTTTGTATGTGCCCAGCTGGGGGCTGAAGACATCTGCAAATTCTTTGCAGACTTCTTGTAGGTCAAGTGTTTGCAGACTATTGAGCCCTGTGACGTGTATTCCCAAGGCCTCAAACCAATCGAGTCCTATGAGACTCGTTCGTTCACCCCCCACTACTATTAGATCTAGTGGACCTTCAAAATCCTTATACTGTATGTTAAGGGTGGCCTCCCCCTTAACACACACTCTGGAGTTTTGAAAGTCTGTTAACACAATGTCAGAAAGCCTTGGCTTGAGTTCCACTACCGGAACAAATCTTCCTAAACGTTTGCTTTCCTCAACATGGCGATGTACTCCTTGGCCGATTCTCCGGGTCGTTGATCCCTCTGCTCAAAGGTGTGGCGCCACGCGATGACGGACATCTTGGGCTGGAAGTGCTCCTTCAGTAGCTTTTTTAGATCTGCATAGTTGACAGACTCTAGAGGGACAGGTGCTGCAAGATTCTCAGCGATTTCGAATGCGTCTTGACCGCAAACGCACAGCAGGGTGGCAGCCTTTAAACTATCTTCCCGTACTTGATTTACCTTGAGGTAGTTTTCCACCCTGGCTACGTAGGATTCCCACCTCTCTGGATGTGAGATGTCGAATTCCGAAAGCCTTCCAATTTTTGCCATTTTGTAGAAGGAAGGGTCTATCTGCCAGCCTACCCCCAAATGCACGCTGGATTGGCGGGTAGCTGCTGAGTCAACGCTGTTCCTGCCGCTCAGGACTCACTCGGGTAAGCTTACATCTTTTTGCTTGATGTAAGGCATCCCACCTTCGTCGCCAGTGTTGCGTCCTTCGCGAAATGGCAAGACATGAGAAGCAGTTGTAGTTCTCAAGACTTCTTTATTCTTAGTTCAGCTTACAGTTGGAAGACACTGGCAATGCCCAAAACTCCTGGCCTCTTATATAGGCCATTCCCGGGTCAATCTGCAATTTTTGGCGCGCCAGAACTTGCGCATGCGCACAAGTACTGGCGACAGCCTGTCTGGTCCCGGGCAACTTGCACCTGCCCGGGACCATTTGCAATGCCCCGAGCCTGCTTGCACAGGCTCAGGACATAACACCTACTGCTTCAGTGACTCCATCCAGCCATCTCATTCTCTGTCGTCCCCTTCTTCTATTGCCCTCAATCTTTCCCAGCATTAGGCCCTTCTCCAATGAGTCCTTCCTTCTCATTAGGCGGCCAAAGTATTTGAGTTTCAACTTCAGGATCTGGCCTTCTAAAGAGCAGTCGGGGTTGATCTCTTCTAGGACTGACCGGCTTGAACGCCCTGCAGTCCAAGGGACTCGCAGGAGTCTTCTCCAGCACCATAGTTCAAAGGCCTCAATTCTTTGGCGCTCAGCCTTTCTTATGGTCCAACTTTCACAGCCATACATTGCAACTGGGAAAACCATGGCCTTGACTATACGCACTTTTGTTGGCAGGGTGATGTCTCTGCTTTTTAGTATGCTGTCTAGTTAATACTATTTAGTATGCTGGCTAGTTAATACTATTATATAAAAGTAAAAAGTTGAGGTTTGAGGTTTTTGTTTTATTCTACTGCACTAGAGAGAGTCAGATGACAATACCTTTTTTTCCTTTTCTCCCTTCATTTCTACTACTCCTTGCCCCTTTCCCTCTCTTGTCTCTTCTACTATGTATGCTTCCTCTTTCTGTTATGTTTTCAAGATGGACAGTGATTAATATTTATATGTATTTATATGTAAGTGAAGGGATTTTATTGTGCTTATGATTTTAGTATGTTTAAGTTTGACATTAGCATTTATTTTATATATAGTAACCATTTTATATTAATACTTATACTGTTATCATGTAATCATTGTTTTGTTATTTTGTAATCATTATTTTGTAGTTAATTGCTTGATCAGATGCTATATCAGGTTCTATCAGTCCATTTTAATTTCTCACGGGAAAAAAAGAGATCTTGCATAGTTGAAATTGATTGATTGAACGTTTTAATCCCACCCGTTACCACCCCCACCCAATGGGCCATGCCCACCCAATGGGCCACACCCACCCGGCACTCGATGATGCATAATGGGGTTTTGGGTTGCAGTTTGGGCACTCAAACTCTAAAAGGTTTGCCATCATGTTTCTATTAAATTCTCTTGAGGTTTGTCTGCACTAGATGTAAAAACAAAAAAACAAAAACAACAACAACAAAAAACCCTCTAGAAATCTACTCCATTGTCCCAATGCCATTCTTATAATTTAACTCCATTCTTTAGTTCTATTAATCTGATCTTTCCTGGTTGTGATGTAAATGTTAAGCAATTTTGTCCTCTTTTTAAGGGAAAAATATTTCTTATTTTCAGACATTTTTCTCCTAGTACTCTAATTGCTTTGCCCTGCATTAGATTTGCACTGTTAGATTTCTAATTAATCTTTTTAGTTAAAAGTTTATTTGTGATTCAAGACCAAAATATAAGCTATATTGCTATTTTAATTAATTTGCTTAAAAGAATATCTCAGCATACGACTGCAAGACTTACAACAATTCAAAATACCAACAGTAACGAAAGTAAAAGAATTATAACCACATCAACAAAGCACAAAGACATTAAAGTCTAATTCAAAAAACTCCCAATGTAGAAATCATACAAAAAATGAGTCTTAAGTTCTTAACTCAAGATTTGAGGGTACAGCCAGATCTCTAATACCTTTTTGAAGGAAGCAGTGAGAGTAAAAACAAATAAAAATAAATAAATAAAATGCCAAAGCCTTGGGAGATAAAAGAAACAATAAACAAATTTCTGCCCTGGAAAAAACTCTACCTTGATTCCTCATGGTATAAGAGAGAAAAGAGAAACTTTGTCAAATATTTTGTTATTATGCTCTGTAATAATAAAGTTCCAATTACCTTTGTGGTATCTGATTCCTGACCTGGTCTACCTCAAAGGGCTGCTGTGGCAATCGCAAGACCAACTTCTCTTACAATGCTGAAATACCTATCAACTTATCTGCTGTTCGTTAAAAAGAACAGGTTTTATATGTTTTTTTTTCCCTCAGTTAAATAATTGTATTGTTTGTAAAAGCTAAATTTATATTTTTGGTTCAGTGATAGCTCCCCTGACTGCTAAAACTGAATAGAAGGACAGGATATAAATAAAATAAATAAATCAGCTAACTAGATTATGTGAGCAAATCAGTCATGAAGCCATTAATAACATTAGGAACACATTTATCATAATGAATGAATTTATTTGCCAATTAAAAGTAATTAGACAAGGGACTATCTCATTTTATAGGTATGTTTAGAAAGTCAGCTTTCTGGCAGGAATTTCAATAGGATTCTTAATTCTTAACATGCTGCTTAAATTATTATTTAGAATAGAAATCAGGGATTTTTTTTACATAATTCTGAATATATTAATAAATGGGGTAATTGCTATTGCCCTTATTTTATGGATTGGAAATTTGAACATTGACATGTGCAGTGAAAGAAACAATTAAGTTGAGTATGAAATTTTCCTGTCTACTTTATGTCTTTAAAATGTCAAAAATTCCTTTGTTTTGGGGAATACTTACATTAATTGTTAAAGATATAACCTAATTCCTCTGTAAATCTAAATTCTAATCTTTCTCTTATCATTAGAAGTTTCTGGTATAGAAAACAAGGTATCATCTTCCAAATCAAATCTAATTCTCTCCAATAGAGGTTCAAATTTATTTAAAAGGATGTTCAAACTAACAAATTGTTGTTTGAAAATGTTGCATTCTTATTGCACCTGAGAAATATATGTTAGAGTGTTTTAATTTAACAAATGAAAGAGAATGCTCTCACCTTCCTACATTCCTGGGGCTAGTACTATCTCAAAAAAGTTACAGTGCTTCCCAAAGTATCCTGTGGGAACACCTGTGGATGTCTGAGTTCATATACTAAATGCCCTCAACTGAAAACACATTAGAGCAGTATTTCTAAACCTTAGCAATTTTTAAGGTGTAAGGACCTCAACTCTCAGAATTCTTCAGCCTCACATTGTTTGGAAATGTTGTGAATTGTACTCTGCACATCTTAAAATTGCTAACATTGGGAAACAGTAGTCTAGAAGTTTGTTTAAGAAAAAAACAATTCACATCTTCATATTGCATCACATCATCTGGTTTTAAGCAACTTCATGAGATGAGCAAGGGAAGGGTGTGGGGGCCTGCTGTATTTGACTAGTTTCTGTTAGCTACTTTTCCTGTTATGCAACACTTAGCTGTTGCTGTAATTTAGTCATTTTTTTTACCCACCCACTAAGGGCCAAATTGGTTCAAGTTACACAGCTTTATCAGCTACACCCATATGCAGGGTAAAAATACTGCTTTATTTTATAATTGGGAAGCTATGAGTTTTCTCTCCCAAATACAGTCTATTCTTTAAAGTCCTTTCTTCGGCCTAGATTTCCTGTCCCTGTGCTGGAATATTTGTAGTTTCAAGATTTATTTGAAAGGAGAATAAAAGCACATTTACTTACAGCAAAGTAGTTTTTAAAATGTCAGGAAGCTTTTTAAAAATGTGGAGAAAAGCAGATTTGCTCCTTGTTTTTCTGGTACCTGAATGGCAAGCAAGGAGGATAACAGGCCAAACAAAAATCTCTGCAGGGTGTGTTCTTGTGCTTCTTGTTATCTTCACTAGTTAGACGCAATAATTATTTAGAAAAAATCAGTCACCTAGCCAATCTTCAAGAACAAAACTTTAGTAACGACTGTTTAACAGGAAAAAAAAAAAAACTAAACCGCTTCTTCCCTTCCTCAAAACTTCTGTGCTTTTGAAAAATTAGGACCAACACCTTCCAGTTTACAGTTTTTCCTCCGCATCATCTTTGTGTCCCAAGATCTGCATGTAGATTTCCCCCTTTATGAAATTGTCAAAAGCCCACATTTCTGTCTAAAAAAAGTGGCAGATCTCAAGAAGCTTGTATGACTTTCTCCCACAGAAATGGTCACACAAGTGAGTTACAATTATTAAGCAAAGATGTTTGGGTGTAAAATCAAAAGGACAATAGGTTTTTGCCCAGCATTTCTCTTTGCAGTATGTAGCTACAAAACCTCTTTTACTGTTGCTTCTATAGGAACATTCCTGATGGATTCTGCATGTCTGTTCCAAGGATATAATAGTTCGTCCTTTGTGATGTTATTATTTAACCTTACAACTACATTCTCTTTAATGATGTCTAGCACAGGCAATGATTCTTCTCAGAGATGGTAAACATCTCTCTTATATTGATCTGCACAGACATAAGCCTATGGCATGCTGTAACCCAAAGACTCCTTATCTTTGGAGATATTGATTGGAGATAGGTTTTTAATTTAAGGAGGAAGTCAGACTGAACACTGTGCTGTAGATTACTTGTTAGTTTATTTATTGAATGGTGAACCTTTGTGGCTTAGCAAGTCAAAAAATTGGAAAACACCTAACTTGATTGTGCTGGTTTGTCACACATCCCCCACAACAAAACAAAAACAATTATCTACCTCTATCCCACATATACATATATCTAGGCCACCCTGAACAGTGGCACTCAGCAGCAGTGTTGAAGCTGGGCCTGAATTTGAAATCTGACTTCAAATTCAGCCCTAGCACTATTCTGCCACTCAAAAAGGCCACTTTGTGCTATTGCTTAAAGCACAATTGCTTCCATGGCCCAGTGCTCCACAGAATTTGCCACCATATCTTTCAGGCAGTATCCTTCAGGCACCATACTTTTAGACAGAATGAGTTTAGGACATACGAGGCATTCATTCTTAAAATACCTTCAAAGAATGCTCTTCTATGGCCTCTGTTGCTTCTGAAAGCCACACAAAAGCATGCCCCATTTTGTGTGATTTTTGAAGAGTCTGGAGAGCACACCCCATTCTCCTGCAGCCTCTTAAAATCATTGAGAATGGGATGTGCTTTTGAAAATAGTATTGGTGAATGTTGGTGTGTCACCCAAAATGTTGTGAGTTATCAGCTTTGACACACATGTCATAAATTCACCATCATTGGTCTAGGTTATTATCCTGATCAACTGTGACAGCAGTCTTATTCCTTCATGCTGTAATTACATAACAGTCATACAGCTTGATTATTCAATGTCATGTTGAGAACTACTTGCGTTTGCTAATCAAAAACTGCTAAACATCAATGATCTCAGAAAAACTAAGGCTGAGTTTTCTTTTCTGTTATTTTTTTTCTCAGAAGCAGGAGCTTCGTCTATGCAGATCTTTAACCTTTTCTCTTATATCTTATCTAGCCTATTAGATCTAGTTCATGCAAATCATTTGCCACTTGGAGTAGGAGGATTCTTATTGAGGAGTATCATGCTGCTAATTAAAATATTAGCTCCTGCCTCCAACTCAATCCTGTTCTTACTTTAGCAGGTACTAAATACTATATCCACTAGACTAGAACATTCACAACTTTTCTTCCAGCATCAACACACTTACTAATTGTTAAAGAGTTTGGATAACAAGAATATAAATTTCCTGGGTCTATGACAACTCACTACCACCTGGCAGCGGGACACCTAGCTCCAGTCAACATGCTGAGGGGACAATTTGCCGAGAACCTGGGCTCTCCACTCAGGTTTCCAAAGGCAGCCCAGCTTAAAGGAGGTGAAGGTTCTTGCTGGCCTGCACTCTTTCTCAAAATGTTTCCTCACCTTGCTTTCCAGTGGTCCCCTGTGAAAGGTGGGATAAGTGGTAGTCATTGTTCCATGCTCATGCTTGGCTCCTGGGTAAGGAAAGGGGCAAGCAGGGATGATGACAGGGCAACTTGCTTCTAATGGCCATCACTGTGAGGGTTCTTCCCACTGAAAGGTCCAGCCTGCAACAATGACTCCCACATAGCCCTCCTGCACTTCTTCTCCAGAGGTGTCCTCATCTCACTTTTCAGTGTCCCCCCCCCTTCACTGTGAAAGGCAGACTAAATGGAAGTCATTGTTCCAAATTGAGCCACCCAGTCATTGTCCGTATTTGCCCCTCTCTCTGCCTGAGACCTGTCAGGGTCCAGCGCAGCATGTCGAAGAAGAGGTCCTTCTTCCCAAGCCCAGGCACAACTGGCAGCTTCCCAACTCTGATACAGATAAAAGTCCCCAAGCTTGGAATGGTGTGTGTGAGTGAGTGTATATGTGCAAGTGGGCAGAACAATGACTCCCGCTTAGCCCACCTTGCAGGGGGCGCCTGGAAAGAGAGGGGAGGAAGTCTTCACAGAAAAACTGCAGGCTGGCAGGAGCTTTCATTTCCCTTAAGCCAAGTCAGCTTTGGAAACTGGAGTGGAACGCCCAGGCTCCTAGCAAGTTGTCCCTTCAATGAGTTGGTCAAAATAAGATGTCTCATGGCAAGATGATAGTGATAATTGGTTATGGCCAGGTGGCATCAGCCAGGTGACCATGGTGAGTTATCCCATTCTTTAATTTCTTGCCTCATTGTTTCTGTATTTGATTGTATAGTATTGAACACTTGTTTCCTAGATATTATTTGAACTTAACATTATTTTGTTTGTAAAAAGTCTAATCTTAAGAATATTATGGGAAATGTATATGTATGTATATCTGTGTGTGTATGTATGTGTATACTGCCTCCAGAAGTGGTGCATGCTCCAATGCTGGAAGTTTTTAAGAAGAGACTGGACAGCCATTTGTCCAAAATGGTGTAGGGTTTCCTGCCTGAGCAGGGGGTTGGACTCGATGACCTCCAAGGTCCCTTCCAACTTTATTATTACTACTACTATTATTATTATTACTATTGATCATCACTTATTATTGTTATTATTATTATTATTATATGCATATCTCTGTGTGTGTTTGTGTGTGTGTGTGCATCCAAGTATCCCTCTTATATTCTCTTCCCTTCTTTTTCTCTTTCTGATAGTCACTAAGCACTACTGAAACTGTAGCAAGCTCTATATTATTTTTTTAAGTTGTAAAACCTTTTGTACAAATGGAGATATTATATTTAAAAAACCTAGAATATTGCAAATAATCTTCTGTTGTATTACTGATCAAAATATAATATACTCAGTAAATGTAATGTCAATAATGATCATCAGAATAAATCCAACTACAGATATTTGCACCATAATAAAAATATAAGTAAATCCTCCCACCACAATTTCCAACAAAACACCTGTGCTTTAAAAAACAATTCAATAGGGGAACACTTAAAATGCACAATTATATTCTTGCAATACAGAAAAAGTTTGACATGCACTTTTTCTCCTTACATACTGATAAAGACAGAAATTGTTAATGCAAGAAACATACAAAGGAAAAAAAAGGATGAGTGAGTATATCTCTCAGTGTTATCCAACTTTGCAGTCTTATTGTTACCAGTATTCTTCAGAAGACCTTCCCCCAATTCAAATCAAGCTCATATTACTTACCTCTGAAGGCCCCAAGGCCCATGATGGTAGCTGAGATAGCCTATAGGAGTTCCTAAACCAGTCTGGATAAAATCAGGACCACAAGGAGAATGCTGCTGAAATACACAGTTCTTACTCTGTCTGGTTTGACAGACAGGGTAGACTGCTAATGGAAAAACCTTCATTGCAACAGTGATACAATACTCAGCAATGTGTGGAAATGCAAAATGTGGGTGAAACAGAGAAAATTAAAGTAAAAGAAACATGTCAGCATGGAGAAAATTATGAGTCTTTAGGATTTTGATAAGCACAATAGAAATTCCCACATAGCCAGAAATTTGTATTGTCCTTTTCTAGAAAGATTTCTAGTTTTTCTAAATATGCCAGCACACTTAGTTCTAATGGCTAGCACCTTCTAATAATATTTTCTTTCATGATCACTTGTTGCTGTTCTTTGTTTAAAGTCAGCCCGCAGCAGCCAGATGGAATAATTCATAAAATAGTGATATGACTGTCTACATACTTCCAGCTGCTCACTGTTCTAGAGACATCCCTTACTTCCATGTCATTGGATGCATCTAATCTCCTAATTATGTGTTATGCTCTACAAATAAGGAACTTCCTATAGGAGGTGCTTCCCATTTAAAAACTCAAAACTTTATTATCTAATCTTTCTATTCTCAATAAAAAAACATTATTATCAGTAAACCACTTACCAGAAACCATCTTTGTGATAACTTTAAAAAGTAAAGATTGGGAATTGGAAAGCCCAGAATTCTCTAAGTGCCTGCTGTCCTTTCCAACAGAAAGTCACATTCAGGCAAAATATAGAACAATTCACTTTGGTGATGATGATGGGAGCTTTGGTTCTCCTTTTTGATGTGATATGTATATTTTTGGTCATTACTTGCTGAATACCAATTGCTGTTCTCACCAATTGTCTGTATTCCTGGATTTATCCTAATTGAATTATTGGCTGTGGCCCAGGATTTTAAGATCACAGGAACCATAACATCACTGATATATTTCCCTCTCAAAACAGCTTATTCCTTCTTGAACAACCTCCCAAATATTCAACTAGCAATTAAGCACCTAACTGACAATGTTCATGCTGAAGAAAAATTAGGCATTTCTTGTTAGATTGCAATCCTTAATTTAATTACCTAACATAAAACAATTTAGTAGGACTTATAGGTAGTCCTTGACTTATAACCTCAATTGAGCCAAAAATTTCCATTGCTAAGCAGCAGTTAAGTGAGTTTTGCACCAAAAGAGCAGTGCTTATGCAGTGGCCAGAGTGCAGTATTGCAGACTAATTCTGCCAACTGACAGCAGTTCAACCCTTTAGAATAGAATAGAATAGAATAGAATAGAATAGAATACAATAGAATAGAATAGAATAGAATAGAATAGAGCTGGAAGGTACCTTGGAGGTCTTCTAGTCCAGTCCCCTACTCAAGCAGGAGAATCTATAGTACCATCTCAGACAAGTGACTGTCTAGCCTCTTCTTAAAAATCTCCAGTGATGGAGCGCCCACAATTTCTGGAGGCAAGCTGCTCCACTGGTTAATTGTTCTCACTGTCAGGAAGTTATTCCTTAATTCCTGGTTGCTTCTCTCTTCAATCAGTTTCCAATGTTTCATTGTTTCTTGTCCTGCCCTCTGGTGCTTTGGTGAACAATGTGACTCCTCTTCCTTGTGGCAGCCCCTCAGATACTGGAATACTACTATCTTGTCTCCCCTATTTCTTCTTTTCTTTAGAGTAACCAAACCCAAGTCCTGCAGCCATTCTTCATATATTTTAGTCTCCAGGCCTTTGATCATCTTAGTTGCTCTTCTCTGAATTTTTTCCCAAACTCTCAACATCTTTTTTGTGATATGGTGATATAGGGCCCATTGTTCCAGTTTGTCAAGATCTTTTTGAATCCTGAGTTTGTCTTCTGGGTGTTGGCTACTCCTGTCAGTTTGGTGTTACCTGCAAATTTGATGAGTCCCCCTTCAATTCCCTCATCTAAGTCATTTATGAAGATATTGAAGAATACTGGGACTAAGACAGAACCTTGTGGTACCCCACTGCATACTTCTCTCCGTGTGGATATAGTGCCATTGAGGACTACTTGTTGAATATGGTTTGCCAGCCAGTTACAAATCCATCTGGTGGTGATGTTGTCTATTCCACTTTTTTCTAGCTTACCAAGGAGTAGGTTGTGGTCTACTTTATCAAATGCCTTACTGAAATCTAAGTATACTACATCCATAGAATTTCACTGTTCTACTAGTTTAGTCGGTTTATCAAAGAATGAAATAAGATTGGTTTGGCATGATCTGTTTTTAACAAAGCCATGCTGGCTACTAGTTATAACTTTGTTTGCTTCTAGTTGTTCGCAGATCTGTTTTTTGATTATCTTTTCTAGGATCTTCCCAGATATTGATGTTAAACTGATTGGTTTGTAGTTTCCTGGGTCTGTTTTTTTTCCCTTTCTTGAAGATGGGAACCACATCAGCCCTTTTCCAATCCTCAGGTACTTCCCTGGTGCTCCAGGATTTATGAAAGATATGGTGCAATGATTCTGAGATAACATCTGCCAGCTCCTTCAGAACTCTGAGATGTAATCTGTCGGGTCCCAGTGATTTATATTCGTCAAGGTCAGATAGGTATTCTCTTACTATTTTCTTGCTTATTTTAATTTTTGTTTCTAGTTTGTCTTTTGCAGTATTTTTTTGGTATGTTGTGCTATAATTTTTTTTGTGTGAAGACTGATGCAAAGAATGAGTTAAGCAGCTCTGCTTTCTCCCTGTTGCCTGTTATTTCCTTGCCATCTTCTCTCTTTAGTGGACCTACAGTTTCCTTGACCTTTTTCTTGTTGTTAATACATTGGAAGAAACTTTTTTTTATCATCCTTGATTTCTGTTGCAAAATTTCTGTTCATTCTGAGCAGCTGAGCATCCTGACTAGCTCAAGGCTGACTCAGCTTTCCATCCTTCTGAGGTTGATAAAATGAGGACCCAGATTGTTGGGGGGCAATATGCTGACTCTGTAAACTGCTTAGAGAGGGCTGAAAAACACTGTGAAGCATTATACAAGTCTAAATACTATTACAACCTTTCTCATCACAACAGAGTTGTTAAGTAAATCATTGATTTTGATTGTCAGAAGGCCACAAAAGGAGATCACATGACCCTGGGACACTGCAACTATTATAAATACATGCCAGTTTCCAATATCTGAAATTTGATCATGGGCTCATGTGAATGAACAACAATTGAAAGTGTGAAAAATGATCATAAGCCACTTTTTTCAATGCTATTGTAACTTAGTTACAAAGTAACTATAATTTAGTAATTATTGTTACTAAATAAATGATTGTAAGTTGAGGACTATTTATATTGAAAATTTCTTAGGATTCTGAGGAGTCCAAAGTCAGGAATTCAGATGTGCACATTTTCTAAAAGTAAGAATAGGAATACAAAAGCAAAAGAACAAACACTTCAAAACAGGGGAGATAATGAATTTTTCAAAACAGAGAAGAAAAGGCCAAGAACTCTTGTAAATTATTGTAAACTGACACTTTGTAACAGGGAGAATATTTAATTTTTAGAAATTTTTAATTTTTTAAGCAAAGAAACAAAGAAAAAAGTCATGGAGATAGAGACTAACACTATAGTGACTTACAAAGTGTGCCATATGTTTTAGCTTATGCCCACAGAAGACCTAAATTATATATGTATCAAATGTAAATCATATGAAAAAGTAAAGGGTCTAGAAGCAACTCTAGCCACTCTGAAACTCAATGAACAAAGTGAGAAATCCAAACTTAAAATACCCCAAAATAAATCACAATAGGTAGCAAATAGTTTCTAAAAAAATGATGCCATGGAGGCAGAGCCAGCTGTCAGAGCGGGCGGCAGTGTGGATGGTTTCTCCGGCACCGTCAAACGCTTGTCCTAGGTCCGCGGGGCTCATCTGAGCTGAAAAAGCCTTGTAGGGGCATCGGAAGGTGTGGGCGATCTGCTGCTCTGTCGTCAGTGACGACTGGCAAGGGGTGGCGGATAAACCCAGTACCGAGTGGATCGGGAAGAAGACGGCTTTAATGGCCATCAAAGCTGCCAGTTGGACAAAGTAAGAGAGGGACTAGCTGAACAATGGTAAATCGGATTTGATCAAATTGTTTTCCCCAGAACTTTACGATTTGTTTATGGTAGACGCATCAAAGGAGAATTGCGGAAAGGGGAAGCCTGGAAAGAGAGAAGTTGAAGGAGTGAAAAGACAGCGGCGAGTGAAAGTGGCAGGAAGAACGCCCGGAAGGGCTTGACGTGGAGGAGCCAGGCTGATTTGGATTAAAAGACTTGGCGCTTAAACCACATAAAAGGATAGGAATTAACTTTTATTTATATAAAGAACTTTGTTTGTCTTCGGGCTTCGATTCGTCTGCTGAGTGGATTGGTCGGTTTAAAGGGGACAATCTCTTCTTTGGAACCCTTTGGTTTTTTTCTTTTCTTCTCTCTGGAAAGAAATAGAAACTCCATGATAGAATGCAACTTGAATGTTATAGAGACTTTTAACTCTTGGAAACGTTGCTGATAAGATTGATGGTAAATATTTGGATGTATTGGTCAAAGCTTGTATTTGTTTAATACTATATGGATAGTGTCTTATAGATGGTATATACCAACGGTATTGTTGATGGTTAAACATCTGGAAAGGGAATAACGTAAAGGGGTGAAAGTGGAAGAACGGAAAGAGGGAAGTGAAAAGCAGACATTTTGGAAGAAAAATAGGTGGTGGGAGAGTCTATTTAAAATGGCAAGTAATCCAAACTCAGTTAAGATTGTGGAGGGAAGAAAAACGTAGTTCAAGGTTCCAGTCCAATGATTCAAAGACCATTAGATGTTATGCTTCAAAAAGAAAGTCCCAACCCACTAAAAGAATTGCAAGCAATGATGCAGGCTATTAAGGAAGTCATGATGAAGAATCATGAAGAAACCAAAACGGAACTGGAAGCAGTTAGGAATGTTACAGGCGAAATGAGAGAGAAGATCCAGG